TCCCAATGTTTTTTTTTTTTTTTTTTTTTTTCAACATATGAATTTTGGGGGAACACGATTCAGTTTCTATCAGGAAGGAATGCAGGGATCTTCCCAGGAAGAGGCTAATAATGTGTATGCCACTCGCATGTGGTCCATCTTCAAGGTGGGAGTAGGTACAATGGCTGGACTACCCCAGACTCCCACATGGTTGTCTTTGGTATCCAACGGGGAGCGGGTTCCAGCAGGAGAACAAAGCTTTCTCCTCGGGAGGGTACAGTACCATTTATTTCTTTGACCTACTTTGTCCTTGATTTAATTTTATTTATTGAGTGCCTCGTGTCTACCCGATACAATGTTAGGGGTTGTGAACTGAAAATAACTGTCCCTGCCTTCAAGGAGTCCAGGAGGGAGACAAAAATTATAAGACAAAATATATGAGACAGCATAAAAGATATATGTGCACAATGCCAGGAGGGAAGGAATTTCTAACTCTGGCTAGATCTGCCAGGAAAGGAACATTTTGTTGAGTAATAAGAGATGCACAGAATTAGGAATTGGGAAAAGAGAGAGTCACACCCCCAAGGGGAGCGTGACATCTTGTGAACAATAGATATGTTTAGGATACTGGAACACATAGGGGCGGAGCTAGGAATGAGGTCGGGATATAAGGGACTTTGAGGGTAAAGGAATTCACATTTATTAAGTCCCTATTATGAGCAAAGCACTATATTTGGTATTTACATACATTATTTTATGTGGTTGGTAGGATTCACCTCCACTTTACAGATGAGGATTGGGAGACTCAGAGAGGTGAATACATTTACCCCATGTCACGTGGCTAATCAGTGGTGCACCCCCATGTGCCAGACTCCATGAACTGTCTACAATAACACAAGCCGAGAATTATTCTCACTAGAAAATATTTAGCCATGTCAAGTCTGACAAAGTTACTTTAAAGTTCCTCCAGCCCAGGTCTGATCTAAGCTGCTGGTTTTGTCCTCTTCTTTGGTTAAGGGCTGGATCCGTCAAGCTCCATACAACTCAGGCATCACTGCAGAAGTATTTGCTGAATAAGATGCTCAAGTCACTGGTACTCGGGCACCCTTGACCCAAAGCCGGGCACCTGTCCGTGGGAGAAGCTGCCTGGCCAGGGCACACCCACAGTGACAGCCAATGCCTGTGCCTTTGTAGCTTTCATCCTTTGGTTTCTAGAGCCCCCAGGCATATCCACTCCCTTTTCCATGCAGCCCCCTAGAATATTGGGGGCTTTGTCTCTTATTTTTCTGCTTCAGTTTATCACTTAGGGCCTGAGAATACCAAGTCCCTGAATCAAATATTATCAGAACAGAGAAGGACTTCCTTTCTCTCTCTCTACCTTGCTCCTCCCATCTCAACCCATTACCCATCCCTCTAATAAACACCACAGGCTGGCCAGTTAGCTCAGATGGTTAGAGGGCGGTGTTATAACATGACGGTCAAGGGTTCAGATCTTCAAACTGGCCCGCCACCAAAAAACATCAAAAAAACAGCTCAATGACGCTGTCAGTGGCTTCGTGATAGACATACCTTTGGATAAATTTTTCTGCTATAAATTAGCAAACTGTCCTCCAGCTGATACATAATATCGTGTCAGGGTCTCTGCAGAGACCTCCTCTCCCCCTTTGGCCAGTGCTGTGTTCCTGATCATGTGCTCAAAGGCTGTGGTCTGTGCAAGTGTTCAGTGTCAGCTGAATACAGGCTTGGACCTCTAAACTGGGGATTGGCAGCTACTGAGGGTTGAGAGTTACTCCGGAACCCCTTGGCAGGCAGTATCTTCCATTCATTCTATAAGCAAAAGGCTCCTGTGGTCCTGCGTGCCTTTCAAGGACTTTCGGACAAGACACTGAAGTCTCACCTCTGCAGTGGCAGGCACTGTACCAAAGGCAGCAGATACATAATCTCATTACGTGATTTCATTCAACATTCACTGCAACCCTCACAGGTGATAATACTAACTCCATGATACTGATGAGGAAATGAAGACACAGAAAGGCTAAGTAATTTGTCCAAGGCAGGAGTAAAAAAATATCAGTGCTGAGGTTCAGAGCCAGGTCTGACTCCACAGCCCACACTGAACTCCTCTTTCATGTCACCTCTGATGCTAAAGGCATCTTTTGTGGTACGAATTGTACACTTCACCCTGGACTATGACCTCAACCCCCAGGATCGGTAGCATTACAGCCACCTTGAAATTTCTGCTCTGTACACTTGAGGACCACATTCTCTGAAGGAAACAGACATAGAAATAGGCTTCGGGGGCAGCACACAGAGGGGTAAGGTGAGAGAGACAGGTGACAGCATCGTGAAGCCTTATTCTGTGAAATCAGCTTTTTCCTTCATGACAATGAATGGGACCAATGTCCAGCATCTTTACTGATTTTCAAAAGCCTTAATTAGGTTCTTCTCAGAAGTTATAGCTTTGGGAAACTTTCACAGGCCGATGGAGTAATTCCTACACCAGGATGATTGTGCTTTTCTACCTTTTACTTCCTGATGGTTTGGCTAAACTTAACATCACACTATGCTTCGGTATTTTTTTTTTAATCGGGATGTAGTTTTACCCAGAGTTTTTTGAGACTGCCTTTTCAGCTTCCAAAGATGCATGTGGGGGCTGCGGTTGCCAGGGGAGCTGCAGTGTCGTCCTGCGGAGCAGGGTGGCCAGGGTGCAGGGAGCTCCCAGGAAAGGCCCCCTCAACCTCCCACTTGCTTGGCAACCTCCAGCACTTCAAACCATCTTCCAGACATGTTTGCAGCACTTGACTCTAATATACTCTGGGGAATTCAAAATTAAAGCAAAGACACTGTTCAAAGACTCTTCTGTAAGTCTTGTGAAAACTTAATGGAGTTATAATTCCATGCAAGGTCTAGTGTGGATTTTTCTTAATTCCACATTCTCAGCAAGCGTCTGAGTGATGACTTAGGAGATTTCCAGAACAAGCTGGTAATTACTTCAATTATCAATGAATATTCTGTCTTGGTGTTCTTTGAATATTTTTAGACGAGAACTACGCTTCACTCTAGCGAATTAATGCTTTGCTAAAATGTTATGTGTAAAAGGAACTCATTTAAAAATGTACTATATAGAGAAGACAGGAGAGAGCAAGGAATCAATATTTACCAAGAATCTAGATAGATGAGACAGTGTTAGGAACTTTTCATATGTTATCTCATTTGCTCTTCATACCACCACCAAAGGGGGTATTATTATCACCATTTTGCAGATAAGGAAACAGTTAATGTGACTTTCTACCATTTCCAGCTTCTCAGTGTTAGTGCCAGATTCAATTATAGCTTGTCTGACTCCAAAACACTTATTTAATCAAGCAAAATAACATCTGAATACAGGCACAAGTCATTACTGAATATACATACAATATTTTACTTTAAGTAAACCCCACCCGCATGTAAGATATCCAGACCTGAGTCCCCAAATCCTGCTTCGCCTGAAACCAGATCCATCCCTGGGTTTCCCAATAATTAATAGATTTTGAAGATTTTTAAAATTTTTTTGTCACTTGCTTAACAAGAAGCTGATTTTATTCTAGTCTCCATAGGTTGATAAACATGAGAAAATCCAGATAATCACATCATAGGTCACTGAGAAGGTCAACAGGAATAAAATAATATTATCATCTTCCAGAACATCCAGGTTTCCTCATTTTTCCAAACTGCAGGTCATAAAGACTACCCTTCCTATTTGCGCTGTTGCTAAGAGAATTAAATAAGATAAATCAAGTGTTTTACAAAATTAAAAAGGTACATTTTTTTACTTACTCACTGAGTTTGGGGGAAAAAAACTGAAACAGATTCCATATCCCTACATTCCACAAACATGTTTTTCTTTTCTGTTTTGAGACTGACAACTCATCTGGACTGTGCAATGTAATAACCACACTGCTATTTTTAGATTTATGTGCTTTCCTTTTATAGATTGCTTCAACTCTGCCTGTGATGGTACCAGTTAAGGGATTACTCAGGACTCATACACATCATGAAAAATCATAACTGATTTGATACATTAGTAAATAATCCCACCAGTATAAAATGATTTTTGCATCAGAAACTCTGTTACCTTAATAATAACAATGAACATTAACAAGTATCTCATCTCTGTGCTAGGTGCTTTGACTATAGCATCCTATTTAAACTTCCCCCAATGAAGTAGAAACTGTTATTAGCCCCATTTTACAGATGAGAAAACTGAGGTTTAGCTAGACATTTAGAAGACAGCAGGGGTGGGATAGCTGCCGGGCACTGTTTGACAGGTTGGCTTGTAGTGCTGGGGGTAGGGAGTGAACACAGAGCTCGGTCCAGTGCCTGGACTCACCTTGTCTGAGCCCTTCACCTCCTCACCTATAACATGGAGTAAATGGACCAAAGAATTTCTGCAAAACATTTATGAAAACACATTTTACGTGGTCTGCTAGTAAATGTATCAGGGCAGAGAGGAGATGTTTGGGGAAGACCTCTTTGCCCTAACTTTTCTGTCTCCTGCCCTTCAGATCCCCCAGTCATCCTGGGGTTCTGAAGAGCACAGGTGGACCACCACTGCCTGGGCCACCCCCTTAAGAGCCTGATAGCCCTGACACCTACCAATATAAGCTGCACCATCTGTCACCATGTATTTGTTGCGATTTAACTTAGGAAAGGTGTGATTCTTTTGTTCTTTTGTAGCACAAGCATTTTCTCTTTCCAGATCAAAAAATTTCTGCAAGACAAAAAAAAAAAAAATGAGCAGGTGAATAGAGAACATTTTTGGTCTTGTTCAAGAACACAAAAGAGTGTATTACCCAAATATCAGCAATAGACCTCATACTGGGTTATTAAAAGCTATATTTGTTCTCAAACCTATATAGGCAACAAGAGAGAAAATTAGAAGGCTCAACTAGGTCTATAATTAACACTTTAAAGCTACAACATGAACACAAAATTCATTCTTTCAACAGGGTGAGGGCCAGAAGTTTGTTTAATTCTCATTGTCTTACACGTCAAGGTGTACTGGCATTTGAAGCATGCCTCCAGGTGCTTTCTGTCAAGCATGCCGATGAACTAAATGAGTATTCTTACATGTTGCATGTTATGCCAATGACTAGCTGATTTGCAAAGGTCAAAGAGATTTTGCTACAGGAACAAATACTATCCATCTAAGCACCTAAGTCTACAAACTCTTTTAACAGGCAGCTCAAAAACATCACAATCTGAAACCGTGAATCCTGAATTTCAACTTCCATGTGACCCCAAAAGCAATATTCCAGCTCACCCAAGGCTGGGGATAGGGAAGCTAGGAGAAGGGGGACTGCGTGGGATGGCTGGGCCTGTGCCCTCAGGGGTCTTCTGAATTTGCTAAATGCTTAGATGAGGCTTAAATTGTGACTGAGCTCTCAGAAAGATGCCAGTCAAAGGCAAAAGTCTCAGGTCTCCTCCACACTGGAAAATGGTGAACATTTTCAGACCTGCGTGGAATCTTTCCGGAATGTCTTATAGCTGTGGAATCATGTGTGTTGGAAAAAAAAGAAGAGGCAAAGAAAAATGGAATGAAAAGGAGATTTCATTTAGTTTTAAACTGTAAGAGCTCAAATTTGGTTTGGGGACATAGTGAGAGTTAGTCTTCTCTTTATCTCCACAGTTGAGAGGGATGGTAATCTAGGGGTGATCACTAAAGTTTCTTTCAGCCCCCAAAATTCCATTCTGATTTTTTGTAAAACCCTTGGGATCCATGGTGCATGACCAAAATGTACTACCCAAGAACTGTCTACTCCACGACACAGAGGAACACTCCCCCAGGGCCATGTCACCACGGTCCTAGGCAATGCTACCTGGTTCACCTTATTTCCACAGTTCCTGTCTTCTGCAAAATCTGTGTCAGTTTCTGGACACTTCAAAGTGACTTAACAACCTGTGAAGTCTCTTAAGTCACAGTTATATACTCACAAGGTCACGTGAGTACTGAGTGTCATTACTCAATAAGAGCTGGCGGTCACCTTGCTCAGACATTCTATCATGACACATGTCCACACATGTGACTGTTTCCTTTTGAGAAAGATATTATTATAAAACCAAGATGGATTTGAAAAAGAATAAAATACACCCCCTAAGTTAAGTCAAGGATGGAGTTACAGTGTGAGGCTTTAGTGAGAATGCACTTGCTCCAGAAAGTCAAAGACGGCCCCAAAGAGGGGAAATAGCTTTATGTGGGATGCTAAAATGACTGCAGACATCAGATCTTATTCACTGGCCTTATTAAACACCTAATATGCTGTAGACAACAGCAAAGATGTTTCAAAAGCGATTTGTTAATTTATTAAAAAGTAAAAACTCGGGGCCGGCCCGGTGGCGCACTGCTATAGTGCGCCGCTTGGGAAGCGCGGCGGTGCTCCCGCTGAGGGTTCGGATCCCACATACAGACCGGCCGCTCACTGGCTGAGCGAGGCGCGGGAGCATCACCAAGGGCTGCGATCCCGTTGCCGGTCCCGGTCCGGTACGGGGGCGACACTGAGGGTTGCGATCCGTTGCCGGACACGGAAAAAGACAAAAA